AGCAAATTCTTCTCTGAACCCAAGGCTGGGGTATGATTCCCTCTTGATTCTCCCATTAAATCCTGTGCACCCATAATCACATAGTAAAACGTTTTTATTTCTCTGTCTCTCACCCACTGGACCGAAAGCTACATGAGGAAACCAATTCAGTTAACCTAACACAATAGCCAACTTCTGCCCTTCGCTCAGAGGTCATATTTAATGTCACTTCTCAGAAAGGCCATCACTGATCACCTAACACATCATCTTTTATTCTTGACTTATCACTTTATGGTGTTTCCTTATTTATTTGTTTCTCTAATAGTTTTCTTACCCACTAGAATATGAACTCTAAGATTTGAGATCTTTTCTGCCTTGTTCATCCCTGTATCTCCACTGTCTAGAAAAGTGCCTGATATATAGTAGAGCTTTAATAAATATGTATTTTTCAAAACTGAGATAAATGAATGAAAAAGTAGTAGACAGATAAGAGTGATAGATTTACACATAATAAGAGGTAATTGAATTACTCAAGACTGAATTAGCCTGTTTATATTAGATAAGCAGAAATAGGCTAATAATGGTATCAGGTTAATTTTTTAACACCTTTTAAAGGACACCATAATACCTCAATATTTAATTATGTGACTCACTGCCATAGACTGTCACCTACTTTTAAAAAGTATACTGGTTTATGAAAACTCTGTTGTATCTTGAATGCCACTAGTGATATTCTACATGTTTCCTGCATATTAATTCACCTATCTTCTTTCCTAGTATGTGTAAGTACACATCTATTATATAAAATTACAGCAGAGGAAAAAGACCCAGAATCAGTAACTTCTCGAAGAATTACTGGACTCTTCACTTTATCAATTGATATTATTTTCTGTTTAGGAAGCAGAGCATTTTGGTTTAAATTCCAAACTTACCTTTTTCAAGTTTAACTATCCTCTTCACAAGTTTCTGCATTTATTATGTAGTCATAACTTTGTCCTTAAAATATTATTTTGATTATATGATGAAATACATGTGATCCTGGCTGGTGTAGCTCAGTGGATTGAACGCGGGCTGCGAACCAAAATGTTGCAGGTTCGATTCCCAGTCAGGGTACATGCCTGGTTTGCAGGCCATGACCCCCAGCAACCGCACATTGATGTTTCTCTCTCTCTCTCTTTCTCCCTCCCTTTCCTCTCTGAAAATAAATAAATAAAATCTTTAAAAAAAAAAGAAATACATGTGGATACTTGTACAAACTTCAGAATGTTCGTGTAATACTACATTTTTCATCAAATAGTATTTCAGTGTGGTGATTGCTGGGAGGAGGGGCGCCTAAGGGGACTAAATCATCATGGAAAAAATTACAATTAAAGATAAAAAAAGTAGCATTTTATATCCTTCCCTCATTCATTCGATAGTGATAACAATGCACAGCTCTGTATTATCTTTCTTTTAAGCGTCTTGTTGTGCACTGCTTAAGGTCACTTAATCTTAGGTGTATAATCATTTGCGTTCTGAATTGCAACTCCTTCATTAGTTTTTATAACTGTTGAATTTAATAGGACTTTGGGGAGGTGGATTGCATGGGCAAAAGGAAATTGGATTTTGAACCTTTTATTATGATGACATCCATTTGATTGTGGTCCAAATGATCAGTGAAGAAAAGCTGCTGCCGTGACAACTTTCCAGTGTGAAATAAAGTATGAGACTTGTATTTGCTTTTTAGTTTTACTGTGTAGGAAAAAAAAGGGCTCCAATACCAATACTCAGCTAATCTTTACTGGGCTCTTCCTGGCAGAAGCTGCCACATGCGTTTTAGGGCATAATAATGTCAAGACCCAGCACCTCCTTCGTAGGAGCTAAAGGTCAGCATCTCCACGACTCAAAAGAGAAATCTATGTGTAACTTTACAGAACCAACCTCACTGTTTTTCAACAATTTATAGTTAATAAAGGCAAAGCACCTTTTACTTTTTATTTCCTCAAACATTGGTGAATTAGGTTTATAATAACCCTGAATTTTACATGAGAAAAAGTGAGGACCACTAACCAGTAAGAAAGTAAGCTGATGCTTCACTGACTCATGCTTCATTCAAGAACCACCCAACCCCAGCCCCCCGCCCTCCAGGCCCCCTGGTTCCCCTGCCCTTGTAATTCCCCAGCCCCACCCCACCCGGACCAATAGTCATGTTACCTTTGCTGGAATTTAGTGATTGGCAGCATACAGAATGTAAGTGAATATTGTATATACTTATTTTTTAAAAGCCATGTGTAATTGAGGACTGAGTAAAGAAATTCAGTATTTGTAAATTTGACATTACAACAATGAGATAGCTTATGTAAAAATACTTTTAAACTGTGAAGTTTATATTTATATAGCATGTCACAGATATTTTTGAATTATATTTTGTTTGAATAAATGACTAGTGAGGATATGATAAAAAATGGGAGACTCATGGGCAGAGTGAAAAAATATGCAAATGTATTTTTAAAATTGTTGATTGGTGTTTGGCTTATATGAAATGCAACAGTTCGTGACCAATGTGTTTACAGACCATTTAGCTAATAAGGGAAGGTTGGTTGGTGCTGATGAAGTAGACTTATTAAACAGTGTGGTTTGAGGACTAATCACTTTTTAAATGGTTACAAATTTGGTGAAGATGTACAATTCACCATGAGGTTTTTAGAAGTACACAATTTAATGGTACAGAGTTCTTTCTAAGGCCGTTTTGCAGCTTAATTGATCAAAGGCGCCTCTCTAACTCTATCCTTCTCCTGACTGGCCTACAGTAAATGGCCTCTGTGCCTGCTGCATTTTCCTGCCCAGTCACTGTACAAATCAGAGACAATAGTACTTGAGACTCCTTCTGTGGCAATACTCCAAAAAGTCAGCCTCCTGAAGTTGTTAAGATCAAAGTGTCATCAGGAAGGTCTTAGTATTTTTTTGAACTCTGCAAATATCGTATAAAATGGGAAGTAAAGCAAGAATCCAGAGACTCAGCATCTGAGTTCTCAATATTAATTATTTTAGAATGTGAAAATTAGATTATTATCTGTGGCTCTTAATACTGCAATTCTAAAAACAAATGGCATCTTAATTTAATGACTTCAAAATGATACAGCGTACCTTCATAAAGTGCTAAACAGCTCTAATTACGTGTTTTATAAAATTTTAATATTTAAATTTAACTTATCACATGAATGATTTATTAATCATTAGTCACAAAGGGGCAGTTTTTGGTATATTAATGTCATTTTACCAATAAAATCTGATTAAAGTGATCACTTATCCCCAGATTGTTATCCTTTTAATGAAAAGTACTTAAAGGATTTAAAATAATTGAGGAAATGTTAATAATGAGCTTAGAGCTATTTATTCTCTGTTGATGGAATAGAAATAAGAGACATATAAACATGTCTTTATGAAAAAAATTACTAATATAACTTTGTAAAGTTAAAATATTATAATCCAGTGGCAGAATTATTTCTTTCCTATTTTTAACCTCAAACTGATATAAACATTTCATTACAGTCAAATGTTGGACTTCAATAGTAATTAAAATCTATCTAGTATGCTGGATGTCTATCACTGGTCAAGGTGACTTCTCTAGAGTGGCATTTACAATAGTAATGTGTTCCTTTCATTATTTTTAGAAATCCTGATAAATTATTATAGTATATTTCATAATAGGATTATTATACTTTTTATACAAATCAAATCTGGCAAGAACATTGAAGATAGTATATGAAATGTTAATGAAATTAAGAAAACTGTCCAGGTATCTCAGTTGGTTAGAAAATTGTCCAATAAACCAAATTGGTTTGGTCCTTGGTCAGGGCACACACAAGAATCAACTAATGAGCAAATAAATAAGAGGAACAACAAATCGTTGTGTCTCTCTCTCTTTCTCTCTCTCTTCCTCTTTCTCCCCTCCTTTCCTCTCTGTCTCTAAAATCAATACATAAAAAAATTAAATAGAAAAAAGAAAACTACATGTTACTTTTTACTAGTTATAATATTACTTATGAATTTTTAAAACTGAATTTATAATACATGTACTTTCCAGTGAAAATTTATGAAATAATTATACAATTTAAATATGTGTAATATAAATATTTGTAATTTTTAGATGGGTTGACCTCCAGTTCTGTTTTAAAATTTAAATAAATTTATTATCTGAGAACATATCATTTGATTATTTTATGCTTCAATTTTAGTATTCAAAATTTGTATTAAGAAATTTCTCTTAAATTTTTGTCAATTTAAGAAAAAAGAAAGTTAAAATATAATTGCATAATTCCAATATGTAGTGAATTTTGAAATAAAAATTTTAGAAATATAAATATTTTAATATCTTGATTTACTGAGTGGCATATGTACTATTGTTTATAATTCTAGAAAGTTTACCTGCTTTATAAATATCGTGTTGACATATTTTCTATTATTTATAATATATCACAAGTTATTACTATGTTTTTAAATGTTGACAGATTTACACATGGCTTTTTTTGTAGAATTATAACTGACATTAGTTATAAAAATTTAAGTTAAAAATTCATAGTAGTGAGAAAGCTAAGTCAATAAAAATTATTTGAATACAAAGTCAGAAGGAAGTTAGAAAAAACAATAGACAAACAGATATTTATTGAGAACTTTTGATTTATGAGGCATGCTAATCCCTAGGAATAAGAAATGTGATAGAGGCCCTTTAAGGGCATTACACTTTTGTTGATGTGATCAACAGCCAAAGGAAAATTGTACATATTGCAGAGTCATAATGCAGAAGGGAAGTGTTCATTCACATGCCACACTCAAAGAGAGAAAGAAGTGAGTGTCATGAGGTACAGAAAATATTTCTTTCATGTGGTGATCCAAAACATCTGTGAAGTATGTGCAGCTTAAGTGGTATGGTGGTACAATTCAAAATCTATTGAAAATATCTCTCATCAAGTCAAACAGCCACATTTCCAATATGGATTATTTCTAATAACATTCACATTTCTTTTCTGATTTGTTTCCAGAATGCTCGGGCCCATTGGGAATTGAAGGTGGAATCATATCTAATCAGCAAATCACAGCTTCATCTACTCACCGAGCTCTTTTTGGTCTTCAGAAGTGGTACCCCTACTACGCTCGTCTTAATAAGAAGGGGCTTATCAATGCCTGGACAGCTGCAGAAAATGACAGATGGTCATGGATTCAGGTAACAGATGGGATGGGACAAGGTTACAGCCAAAGAACAACCAGAGTCATTTCAGAAAGAAGACAGTGGGAGCCCAAACATGACTTTTCTTCATGGTCACAGAAGAAAGGATAATTTAGTTAAGGGTCCAAATTGTCTATCAACTCTGAAACTGTGGGAAACATACATTCCATAGAAAGGTGTGTTCAGAGTGTTTTTTTTTTAAATTCTTGGGTTATAAATATCCCTATTTCAAGGTGCATATCAAAGAAAGGGAGATATACAATATCTAAAGGCATTTCAATATATATTTCCAGGTATTATTGTCAGCCACCTACTTTTTGAAACAGGAGAACATGGTGAAAGACCAAGATATTAAGTGATTTCCCAAAGATGGGATGCATGGTAGAAATGCCAGCACCTTATATTAAATTCAGTTAAATGCCTTTTGAGTACTTCTCTGAGGTGAGATAGTAAACTACATAGTAGGAGGATACAAAAAGTGATCAAACCAGTTTTCTGTGAAAAGATTATGCCTCTGTTGGAGTGAGGGGGGTGGGTAACAACATTAATAACTTCTAACTAGTCATCAGTGTATGCTAAAGAAAAGGAAAATTCAGTACAACAGTGGGGTCAGTAGAAAAAGTAATTAATTATCATGAGAAAGCCTCATGGAAAAGATAGTTTTTGAGGTAGGCCTTGGAAGATGGCTTTCTTTTACTGGAGACTAGAAGCCAAGGGAACAGTGTGATCAAAGATGCTAGGTGAGAGTCTGGGGAACATCATGAAGAAATTTATGATTTGTGTATCGGTTGCTGGAGGAATGTGTTCATATTTATTGGCTGAGTTTAGTGTGCTTTAGGATTCATGCATACTGAAAGGTTGGCCTTATTCCTTTAGAATAGGGAGCTTCAACAGGATTTTGATTTTTGTAGGTAGCTGATCAGCTTTATCTGTTTACCACATATTTTGTATCAAGGCAATTTTTAATATGGGAATCTTTGATGTGACATTAGGTGCAGCATACAGGGGTTGCTCTACATGCAGTTAATAGGAAGGAAATTTGATTTATGACCAAATGGCTTGACTTCCAAACTTTAGGAGCAGGGCTAAAATCTCCCTCAGATGTTTTTTTTGTTCAGATTTCTTGTGAAGTTTTGCATATCCTATATAGATTTCTTTCATCTGGATGACTCCATGTAGCTGCCTGATATTTTTGGTTGATTGTACAAATTTATACTTGCATGAATTTGCAGGAATTACTTCTTAAATTATACAATTACACACAATTTTTAATCTGTAGCTACACATGCAATGAGAAATCCAGATAGAGGAAATGGCGAATTTTATAGTTTCCATCATAGGCTAATGAATTTCCAACTACAGTTTAAAATAGAACAAAAAAAAAGTGCTTGTGTTCTACTAACTAAAAATCATTCTAGAGACCTTTTTTTTTTTGCAGTTGACTGTTATGAAATGCATTTGTGGACTTGAGGTCATGATAAAACTTTAGAAATTAAGATTTAGAGCAAAATTACAGAACAATTGGGAAATAATGTCACAAGTTTGCATCAAGGTTTCTGTTTAGCATGTTATGTTTGTGAGCTTCAGTGACTGGCATGTTTTGATAAGCTATAAATACCATACTTTGCAATGTTGTCTCTGTGAAACACTGTATTAAAGTTTCATGTCCTGATATTTCCCTTTACTCTGTCCCAGTTTTTTGCTAACATAACACTAAGGCATCATATGCCTTTCAAAGAATGAATTTTAAGTTCTCTTTATCCCATGATTATAGTTAGATAAATATAATGATTAACATAAGTAGAATAATTAAATATTTATTTTATTTTTAGTAGCAGTGTCTTATGATTACTATTATTATTATTATTATTATTATTTTGCTATTAGTACAAAGATAATGAGTTCTTAGAGAAACGCAGTAAATGTGAATAAAAAGGGTTTCATATTAGATGAAGATACCTTGCAGATAATGGGAGGAAAACTGAAAACTAAACATCGTTATTCAATAGTACTTGTGATTGTGTTTAGAGCATGTATATGCTATTGTATTCATTAATAAAATCTTACTAAGTTATTTTTCTAAAATGAAAAGGGTTATCCCCTTCTTAAAAGAAAATCATATCTAAGAGGCTCTGGAAAGATAAATCATGTACTAAATTCTCTGTGCTGAACAGAAAATTTAATTTCCTGTGTCATTTAATTTTTAATTTATTATCAATCCTTCAAATGAAACACTGGAGTACTTTGCTTAAATTCACTTAGGATGAGCGCACTCGCCCCCCAATCTTTCAGGTGTATGGCACACATGCAATAATTCGTACTCAATACATTGTGTTCCCTGTCTTGATGAAAGTTAAAATTACCACTTTAAACTTACACACTCAGCATGCAGTTTTTAACAGCACCATAATCTTCATAGTTGATTCCAGATTTAAAGGATTGGTCTAATGAGTACAGTTAAACAGAAACCTGTTTTTTTCCCCCAAGCTTTTATGACCTTTATTTCCTCAGATGGATTTTTTTTCAGCTAATAAACTACTACCTTAAACACTGATTTATTACCATCCTAGAATATCTGTTTCTCTTTCTGACTGATGTGAGATATAATAACTTTACACAATTATAGAAATATTTTTTGGGTTATCTCATATAAAATTGAAAAAAACTTAATTAAACCTGAGTACTTGGCTAACTGATTTAGATAAATCTAGATGACTATTTTTTATTTATTTTTAAAGAAAATTATTTTTTGTTATTTTTCTTTTTTATAGCTACATTTATTAAAATACTGTATTTTTAAAAAATTCTGAGGTGGTTTTGTGTTATTGTATTTTCACCCTCATCTTTTTTATTCATTCAACAGTCATGTACTGAATAAAGGCCACCTCTGTGTTCTACTGGGCACTAGAGAAAAGAGCACTTGCTTTCAAATGCTCTGAATATAAGATGCAGAAAAGCAAATGGGGTAAAAAAAAAACAGGCAATTTTTGTGGCCTGGTCTTACACCACCTGCTAACCACTTTATTTGAACCATTATATTTTACCTTACCCAAACAGCCCATTTTAATAGAACTTTTGTTAAACCAAAAACTAATTTAATATAATATATAGAGTATGAGAGGAGTGAAACCCAGTGATACTATGTATTACAGTTATATTATTACCTGCCAATCTATTTGAAGGGTATACCTAGGCAAAGCCATAATTTTTCTTTGAAAGTTAATTTACCAATAATTTCAGTGCTAGTATATTATCACTGAGAAAAATAAGTTTGATCTTTCTCTTTTAAATACTTTATTACTCTTTTTAGAAAATGTGAATGTGATCTTCATATGTTCCTTTTCTACACGTCACAGAGTTTGTGGGAGGAAGAGAAACTAGTTTCTCAATCTGTAACGTGTACAGTAATCGTAGTGATTGCTGGGTAAAAATATAAATGTCTGGGTTGCCCCAGACCTGCTGCAGGTCCTCCTTAGACTGTGCTGTAATAATATGTTTCATCAGTTTATAAAGCCTGGATTTGTATTGTTTGAGTTACATTAAAAAATAGACAAATAAAATTTAAAAGCATTTGCTTGATGATTTGGGGCATTTTATTGTTGAAATCACGGGTAGCAATAACTTCATTGGTGGAAAGAGAGGAAACAACAGTGAAGAAAATGAGGAAGGATAGTGGGAACTATGTGACCCAGAAAGTCTCTACACTACAGGGACTCAGAACAACACTACATCCTAGTCAGAAAGGCACTCCACTTTTAGTGGCAATTCATAAGTAAGCATTATTCATTCATTATAAAATGTTTAAGTATATTCATCAGTTTATGTTCACAAATGGCTATTAGATTCTTCATTGTTAGAAAATTTAAGATATCCCAAAATAAGATCATCTGATTTTTACGTTTTTAAACAAAAATAATAGTGTAGAAAACATGAGTCAAAAAAAGAATTATGTGAGTACAAATTATGTTACAAATTTTTATCTCTGACTACAAATTCCATATATACTAGGATTTTATTCTTAAAACTTTGCAAACAGTAGAATTTAAAATGGCATAAAAATAGAGTAATCATGTATTTCACTCAAAAACCTGTACATAATATGTGTGAAAACTTTTTTGGTACTTACAGACATCTGGAACTCCTTGAGACAAAAAAGTCATTTTTAGAAACACTGAATTTAAGAAGTATATATTTTTCATTTTCAGATTATTTATAATTATAGAACCCAAATTACATATGTATATGTATTCTACATGCATATACATATGTATAGAATCTAATCTATCTTTACTACTTCTTCATTCAAGTAAAAAAAATTAGCCTGATTTTTCCTGAAAAAACTATGACTCTTATACACTTCCATCCATATTAAACAAATTTCTAAGAATAATTATATCTGGATATTAATATATCACTTTTTCTAATTATCTTTTTTTAAAATACAGTAATCTTGGATGGAAAATCACTATTTTCTTTTAAGTTGTTTATTAGAATGGAACTTTCATGCATAGGTGTTTTTTTAAATGTTACTTTTTTATTTTTAAAAACAAAAAGTCACTTAATATTAAATAAAAATGGTGATGCTTCTGTACTGAAAATATTCAATCTCTAATTATTTGGTCACTGACCACATTCATACTAATAGACTGCATACTGCTTGCTTATTAGCTTTAAAGAATGTGTTTTGCATCTTAACTTCAGATTCTATGAGCTATGGAATATATGATCAAGCATATAGCAATTGTTCTTCAATTTAAAAGAAGCTGCTCCAGGAATCTCTATTCTTTCTGAAGCTACTCCCTCTCTGACATCCAGCACACGAGGTCTTACGGGCCTGCATTTCATTCTGGTCCTGGTCCTCAGATTCATCTGGCTGGTTCCACTCCTGTGCTCAGGCATATACACTTCATGGCTCGTTTATTGGCCATCTACCAGTCTTTGGATTCTGCTCCTTTATCCCCTTCTCTATAAAGTGATTCCTGGAATTCCTGCTTTTT